TTCATCATGGTGGACCAACTGACTTATTTTTTTCACCTATCATCTTCCACTAGTGCCCCATCGGTGTATACCGATAGCGCGGGCGGGGTTATCATTCCATTTTCACCCATTAAAAAAAAACATGTTAAACAAAATTATTACATGTGTTATACCCGAATAAAATGCAAATTAGAAAAAAAAATAACTCATAGATAACACGTAAATGTTGAAAAAATATCAATACATTTTTCTTAAACTTTGCCATTTATGCACATACATGTTTCAATTTCTTTTCAAGACTAAATAAAACGTCGGCAATAAAATCGTGAATGTATACTCTTAGGTGCCTGTATATCATGATTATAATAAATTTATATAATATATACCATACATACGAGTTAATTTTATTTTATAACACGAACACAGAGAATATATATTTACTATGTGACTCTCATACCACATTTTAGTAAACGTAAATTATTATAAACTACCGGCAAACCACGGTGTCGCACGTTTTTTGTTTTGAAAAAAATACAGTCGTGTTACTCAGTGTTAATGTCACTTTGTATACGAAAAATGGAACACATTATTCGCTCGGCCATTTTTGCCACTGACCAAAGATCTAGTTAGAATTGTTGATATTTTAGCTTTAATAGAATACTGTGGCGAAATGTAGTGATTGTGATAGGTTTGGACAAACCACGATTAATTCTCATGTTGGCTCGCAAGATCCAGGGTTGGCAGATGCGAATTTTAATCTATACTTAAATGTCAATTAGTTTTTAATAATGGATATGATTATTTAGGATTTTAACCCTATCATAATGTTGTATCGTTTTTCAATATGTCTTGTCATGTACTATAAAATGAATGATGAAAAAAATATGAAGGTTCTTCTTCTGTTTCCACTCTTTCCTATCCTTCTCTTTCCGTTATGCACCTTCAATCTTATATATCACTGTAATTGTGTACCTTTTAAACCTGTACAGACTTTATAAGTACTAAACTTATTAGCCAATATTTTCAAATAAACTACCAAAATTTCTTCTAGTCCATTCAAACTTTTCTTCAAAATTTTCATTCCTCTAAAATTTTGCAAGTAAAAAAAGTTGAAAAAAAATACTTAATCTGGCAACGCTGTTCTTTTCGGTTTTCTACCGATTTCAACAAAAGGAGGGAGATTTTATTTCGGTAGTATTTTTTTTACATTTAGTTAGTTTGTCACCTCGTCAGTTCTAAACCGATTTGGAAAATTCTTTTTTTGTCTGAAAGGACATACTTTCAGATTGGTGCCAAATAAAATTTTATCAAAATCGGTACAGTAGTTTAGTTTTTAAATCAAAATAACTGATTGAAGTCGGTTTTTTTTGTGAAACACGATTTCAAATTATAATGTATATCTTGGTATTATCATTAGTATTATCATAAGATTAAATAACCCTAATTCTGATTTTATTTTTATGACAGTAGCACGTCGTATTTCATGTTTTGTTATTTTAACGTATGAACTGAGGGATTGGCTTCACAAATATATACGATATTAACCTTTTTAAAACAAATTAACGTGACCATATCGGGCAACCGCCGCTTAAAAATTATGCTGAAATATTGAATGAATAAAAAGGGAAATCCGGGAGCCATTAGCCCTCGGTAATTATTTTTTAAACGCGTTCAAATAAAGAGTTTGAAATTTATTACAGAGATTGCATACAAATTTTTGTTATCAGCGGTGAATTAACATAAGTCTGTCGGTATTATGAATTATGTATAATTCTTATTTGTCAAACTAACTGCCCGCCCCGGCTCCGCACGGGTGTACTAAAGAGGAAAATGAGAACAAATTTTTCAAACTTTTTTTATATCAACCTTGTTCTGGCAATTACAAACAACAGGGGAGAGAAGGGATTGTTAGTAATGGTGATTAGAAACCCTATTGCTAGAAATATAACTTACCGGGTCGACCACCACGTGGTTCTTCCTGGAAAACATCGTGATTCATTTTTTGTTGAATTCGTTACGATGGGCCAACTGACCTGCTTCATCATCATCTATCATCCCTCACTGGCACCCCGCCAGTGTATACCAAATAGCGCAGGCCATACCATTTCATTATCACCCATTAAAAAAAATTAGAAACAACAACAACAATTAACCAAGTTCAGCTTTAGGTTGTGCCGTACTTTGTTCCTTTAGTCGTATCTTATGACATCCAGGAGAGGCGGGACAAGATTTTTAGTAATGGAGGCCATCAGCCCAATTTCTAGCAGTAGGTCTAATAATGGAGTCAGGTCGACCTCCTCGCGGTTCCTACTGGAAATCATCTTGGTTAATACATAGTGAATTCGTTATGATGTACTTAAACTGACCTGCTTTCATCCTTACTTATCATCCTGCACTGATGCTCCATCAGCGTTAACCAATAGCATAGGTAGTAATACCATACCATTATCATACTACGAAAAAGAAATATCCAGGCGATTAAAAGGAGTGTAGACACACGGTTTTCTTTCTCTGTCACCTAATAAAATAAGTACACATAAATATAATAGGTACTTAACTTTATGAAACAATGTTGCATATAAGTTCTTTAAAAAAAACACAAGTTACAAAACAGAAAATTAGGTATGTTTTTATACTTATTTCAATGATATTACCTATACGATGACGGTTATTAATTCCGCCAAATGACATAGTTTCGAAACAGTAACAAAATTACTACTAATGAAGCCACTCCGGATTAGTTTCCCTATTTTAGTATAAGAAGTTACAACTGCCAACCTAACGACTGTGTTTGTATTTTATAAATTTGCTTGACTGTATCATTGTTTTTAATATATTTTCTTTTACTTGACAATAGTATACTTAATATTATAACGAGGAAGGATTAGATTGATTATTTGTAATAAATATTGAAATGTAATAACTACCGGTTTCATTTAATTTACGTGTAATTAGATCGAAAAAGCTCGAATAGTTTCGGTATCAATTCGTGATACTTAGTCATGAGCGACTAAATATAATAAAGTATTATAATGTGTGCTTACGAAACCTTTAATACTAAAATTGTAGTTGGTTACCGTTGCCCGTGAACACCTGTGTCGAGAGGAGTTGCTTGTGCTCTGCTGGCCTTTTAAATGTTTAAAATCACGTTTTATATATATATATATGTATATATATATATATATATATCTTAAAATGATGTCATAGATGTGGAAGTATGTTTATTTCATTATTACGTCTTGGCTTGAACAGTCACTATGATGAAATATGGTGTACAAGTAAGCGCTTTATTATCTTGTGCCTGATCGACTCCGTATTGAATGATGAGCAAATTCTGTAATGTAATCAATAAAACTGTTGTTATATAATAAAATAAAGTACGTCTAAAAGTATCGAAATGCCACCAAGATACATTATTCTGGTCACAGAGGAAACTCGTAATATTTATTACATCAAGTAATCGGTGATATGTATCGTATTTATTGTTACGATCCCATTTGTGTGGAATTTAATATCTAAATTTGGAACGAACAGGAAATGTCACATGAAAAATATATGCGTGTTTTTTAAGGCTTTGTACAAAAGTCGTTTACCCAAATAGCATTCAAATCTCTTATGTTTCTAGTATTTTTATTGTGTAAAGTCAGACTCGAATTTCTCGATCACTAACAGATCTGCGAGTGATTTACATTTGCTATTTTGTAAGATTATTGACAGCACTGTTTCTTGAAGGTGGTTGTGTAGTGAATTGGAGTAAGTGTGCTACCGTTTTTGAAGCTCACTTTAGTTTACAAAACTTTTTTACTTGTCATTCCCAAAGTTTATAAATATGAAAATTAGATGAAGTGAAAATTTAGGTGAAGTGAAAGTTAAGTGAGGTGTGAAATGTAGTGCGAATCTTTGCAGAAAAGCATGGTAGCTGCGTGTTTTACGTGACATTAACAGGCTAGTAATTCCTTTCTAACTTACTTATCTTTTGGAAGTTTCCTTACTTAATTATTGTGACATTTCAAATATTTAATATCAGGATTGCTCACCAACTTAGATTTAATTTGGAAGTACTTTTTTTCTGATAACTTGTTTATTATTACGTTGTTATTATTACGTTCCCCAAGTTTCCAACTTTTAGTTGAGATGTAATTATGGTACACCATCTGTCTTCAACATCTATTCTTATTTTATCTGATGTGATGAGACGCATTATTATTTTCAATTACTAGTCGTATCAACTATATCTTTACGGTGATTAGTAGGTCTACTAAAAAGAAATGATCGATCCAAATCTCTTTGAATATCTTCTGCTATGAATTTCATTGGATTCGAACAGTCGCTGTAAATTTTCCATTTGATTTGATATTAAATTGACCATTAATGTATCGTGGATCCTACTTGTAAACTTTGATTGGTTTCATAATTTGAGTTTAACAAAGCAGTATAATTGTCGGTCGAGTATTATTCGAAAGATCTTGGGATCTAAAAGATACTCGGATCTATTTCAAATTTAATTTGAAAGTTGAAATTTTCAGTTTACATTAGAAATAATTGGCGCATCTTTCGGGATAAATGCCTTCCCGAACTAGTTCGTAAGCTGTAAAATTTTATCAAGTAAACGTTAGCTGTCAATATTTAAATTTTGCCAAAACATTAAATATTTTATTAGGTAAGTTAATAGCCGTCTAAAAGATTTGTATTGGTTGATGGATGTAACATCAAATAAAATACTGCTGGCATTTGTTTTTCTTTATCGTCAAAAGTTTGTCAATCATCTTTAAAAATATCTTTCTTTTGAACAGATTTGGCGCCTCTGGAACCGGTTCTTTCACTTTCCACGATCGGGTCCATTGACCAAAGATATAATGAGCAAATCATCTCATAGTGACTCACGGCGATCAGTTTTTGGGTGCTTTCTCCCACACCTGACAGAAAGGGGCACGTGTCGCGGATACGAACACTTTCCACTGGGGGAAATGAGACCAGTGTTTTGCATGGCCTTGATTCAAGAGTCGACGGCGGTGCTGCGCGATCGGGCGATCGCGAGCCAGTCTTATTCTGACGCTAAAACGTTTCACACGTTCTCATTGTGGCTTCGCTTTGCCGGCGAGTACGACGCGAGTGACAAACAGAAGTGCTACAAGTGCGAGATTAGTGGTTTAAGTGATTCTTTTTTACCATACGGTGGATAAATCGAGCAAATCTGGAGCGTCACAGTAGTTTAAAGAGGTCTGTTTCATTCAATATTCTCCAGAGCCTTAATTCCCGCGAAGTCTTTGAGCGTGCATTGTTTTTATTTCGTCGTATGAGTCGCCGAGCAATCGGAACGCATTGTTTATGGTTTTAAGTTTATGCGCTCGCATAATTTATGGTCGATCATTGTCAGAATGATTTTTACTACCCACGCAAAAAATGTGAAAGTTGCTCGGACGTCTGTCTCGTAAGATCGAATGCAGTACAGCAATCGCAGTGTGGTCATGCCTTGTTGGATTCAGGCACATATTTCGTTTATCGTTTCATGATTATCTCTTCATTAATTGCGATTTTATTTAATGCTGAATAATAATAGTCTGAAAGTGAATACTGTAAAACAGCTCTGAGTACCTATTCATCATCATCATCATATCAGCCGTTAATTAGCCACTGCTGTACACAGATCCCTCCTTGGGGGGTTTGCTAGTAGTTGCAGTGATTAGCAGGCGGGTTGGCAACCCCAGTTAGGTTTTAGTGATGTTTTAAGAGGAACCCTGCTGCCCATCCCTCGACCATTAAGTTTCCTTAGTATCCTCTTACGATATCCACGGGAAAGGAAGGGGTGCCCCATTCTATGTGCGGACCACACGGCAACCTATTACTTCATAATAATGTAGTACCGTACTGAGTATATTTTCCATTGAAAAATTTACTTAGATATTTATTTTTAATCGTGTATATTTTATTTTCGAGAATAAAATTATCATTATTATAATAATACAATAGTTTATGTTATTCAAAGTTTTACTTTTACTTTTTTTAATTGCCAGTGTAAAATAGAAATTAAAATAATTTCATTTAATAAATAAATTAATTAATTAACTTGATAGTTTAGTATTATACTAAATTATCTATCTAGTTTTGATTAACTTGACTAGTTTAGTATGTAATCGCTTACTTGATAATTAATTTATTAAGTATGCGTCCCCTTCATTGTTAAGCTTTATATTATATTCTCCTTTTATGGAAGTCCCTTCCATAAAAGGAGAATATAAGTACCTACCCAGTCTATTATTATTATTATTTATTACGCTTGGTCAGGAGGTTTGGTATGAACTTAGTATGTCGAATCTATGTTTATTTTCTTTAATTGCTTACGACAATCTGGAGAAATTAATATTAGTCTAGCATTTTTTTTTAATATTACAACGATTTAATTATACTAGGGATCTATAGTAATTAATCCACGTCACATAGAGAAAATTTATTACATTGTGTGAAAATAAATATAGGAGAGTTGTACGTGCTCGCTTATACTTATATCTATCTTTGGAAAGTTCATTAAGTTTAATAAATCTTTATTAGATTTCATTTATTAAGACAAACGTAATTATGAATGATTCATGTCTAGGAAATGTCGATATAAATCTCTAATTAATTAATTAAGAATTTAGAAATTCTTTTATTTCAACTAGCGATCCGCTCCGGCTTCGCATGGCGTTCAAATTATACATACGAGCCGTTCGTAAAAATATCTCGTGTAAATCATCGAGTTATAGCTAATACGTACATTACTAATATAATAAAATTATAACTGGCACGCACTTCCTTTTGACATTAAATCTATTAAAAACAAATCTGCCTTTTAATATAAACTACGGGTTCACTTCCTAATAAACTTCAAACACGTTTTTTTAAGTAACTTTCTTTTTTCTCTCTTTTCTTTTGCTTTTTAATTGTACTTTTCGCTTCAGTCGTAGGTATTTTACTGCCTTATTTTCTTTTATCTGCTGTTATAATTTATCATTATTAGAATTATAGTTGTTTATTATATATATGTGAAAAAACATTTTTAAAAGCCTAACTGCGGCAAAACTCCCCTTATGGGGAAGGCTTTTGACTTATATATATATATTTGTGTGGGTAAGTATATGTATGTATATAATATGTAATAACAATATTTGTACAAATTTAAGTAGTAAGTGGTAGTAAATGGCACCGCCTACTTAATTTCCTGCTTGCCTCATGGTCTTCTCATCAAGAACGCTATTAGGTGTTAAGTTCGCAATATGTATATTTACTTATATAATTGTGCATTGAAGTTTAAATAAATAAATAACGTGACGAAGTCTGTATATGCGAGATATTTAAGAAAAAATAATTAGAGAGGTTTTAATAAGAGTAATAGAAGCCAAAATAACAAGATAAAATATATTCTATATACAGTTTATGCGTAGGTAATTTTTTTTATTAAATAATTCATGAAACATTAGAAATTATTTATTATGATAATTAAGTAAAACACGGAACGCTCTTGAGAGTAACAAATTATATTTCTACATTCATATCACATTATGATGTCAAAACGTAAACAGAAAAATTAAATTCAGAATTATTATACAATTACCGGTATTACGCGGCCGAAGTCACGTGAACCGACTAGTTCTATATAAATAAATAATGCTATATGTATATAATATACTAATTTTGTTTCTTCGGGCAAAAGTAAATATTTGCCGATTTAATTCTTTCTAAAACTAATTTTGCATGGGCAAATTGCCCAGGGCGGCGGCTCTGTTGGCACCTTTCTAAATTGGGTCATATGCAGAGTTAACTGTAGGATCTATCTTCTAAATCCGTTAATAATAATTTATTTCACAAATAAACAAAGTCAAAATTTAAACCCGTTACAAAACTTATTATCAAAATCAGTGATCAATTAGCGTACATATGTGTTACATATATGTAAAAGAAAAAAAGGCAGTCAAATTAGGGATCTTTTTCTTTTCGAAGTTGCTTGAAAACGGACCCCATGTGAGCGTATCTGGTAAAAACGTTTTAAGCACATAAAACAAAGTATCTAGCCATCTAAGTCGCCACCGCACTTGGGAAAAGTTCGTAAAAGGTCTATAAAAGGCAACTTTTTGGGTGACAGAAGAAATTCTCACGGAATTCTCGAATAATACTCCGGAGAACATCTCAGAGATCAAATTGCAAGTACCTAATACCTTTTCACTTGTGGATGTTCTCTCATGTGGAAATTCACTTCACTGTTACGAATTAATAGTAAAGGTAGCCGCAAATGGAAACGATTAAAGTTATTTTAGGGTTCCTTTGTATCTCAACGTAGTATCTACCCGCTACCCATTTTTCGGTACAATTTTGTAAATTATCCAGAAGTCGAAAATTGTGCATTGATCTTCCATAAATGTAGGTATCTTTGAAGAAGAGATTGATGATAATTCTTTTAATATACATGTCTTTACGGATAAAACAACTAGTCTTCATCTAAATTAATATTAGAATGAAGAAAAACTCGATTTTTTGTATGTTTTAAATATACTATCGGGTCTTAAAGCGATGACAAATTTGCATGTAAATATTACCTAAATACCTACTTCATTATTGCCGAAGTTACGTGGTCACGACAGGATGTTTTTGTATGTTTATTTATAATGGATAAATTCTCAAAAACAACTTAAACATTTATAAAAATTATTCCACCTATAGAAGGTACTGTATTTTTTTTTCAATAGATGATAATGGAATGGTAACTCTGCCTACGTTAACGGTATACGCTGACGCGGCACCAGTGAGGGATGATAAGTGAGGATGAAAAGGCAGGTAGTTAGCTCACCGTGATGAATACACCAGGAATTCAGCACGATGGTTTCCAGGTGGAGGTCGACCTGATAGGGTATATTGCTAGCAATAGGACTAATAGTCTGCATTATTAACAATTTCTTTCCCCCGAAGGTACTGTATTAGCAAGTAACATACGCTGTATTTTATTTTTAAAAACTGTGCCAAGCAAGAGTAAGCCGTTAGTATGACATAAATCTGACAGTTGAGTTTAATACTCATACATTCGCTTTATCTCATAACACATTACCTAGTAACTACAAGGTTTAAGCAATTACTGTGTAAGCTGTACTGTAAAATGTGGTGTAGACCTTAACAAATTATATTAAGTTAATGTTCCCTATATGCTTTATATTGAGAGTAATTAACAAAAAAATACTATTGACTTCGGCAGGCTCGCCTCCTGCCATGTTGAATTTAAATATGCTCGGAGAAATGTGCGTATATCGAATATTCGATATATTTTTTTCATACGTTTATTAATAACGGTCACCACAACGGTAAGAGCAGGCAAATATCTTTATCTTCGACTGTCTATTTAGCAATTACAGTCGTGAGCATATTCATATAATTTAAGATTGTGTACCACAAGAAAACCGACTCCAATTGTGGTAAAACTAGATATTTTGATTAAAAAACGAAATTACTGTACCGATTTTAATAAAATTTCTATGGTCCAATCTGTAAGAATACCTATACTTTCAGATAAAAAAAAGCATTTTCTAAATTTGTTTATAACTAATGAAATTATGGGTAAAACAAACTTAAAAAAATAAACGGAGTTAAAAACCTTCTTTTAAGAGCTCGGTTGAAAATGGCTTTAGATTCAGTTCTCATTTTCCTATCATTTGCAAATAATATTTGCAATGTTAAGCATACAGTACAGTAATATAAAGTTTTATTAAACACGATATCCTTATTCAAATACGTTCACGAGAGCAGGACCGTTTAGTATACCTTCACGCCATTACTTCATAATGAGTACGGGATATTAGAATACGGCTTTAGTAGGTATAATGCAAATAGACGCGTTTGCTGTCTCTCGTTAAATATTATTGACATAAAGGAGTTTAATTATTTCACTGTTTACTTTTACTGTCTCGAATATAACAGGGTTACGACCTCCCTTTCTTGCCATTCAAAAGCTATAAATAAAACTCCATTTCCCTGTCGTTTCACGGGATCTAAACGCTTTTAATTATCCTTATCTTAATTGAATAAACAAAACATCTTTGGAGTGGAATTTATGAGATTGAAATGTGGGAGAGACACAGTGACATGACAAAAGCGCTGTTGACTTTGTTTTTTTCAGACCAGCTCTGGGAGGCTAAAAGGGGAACAAACAATGGTGTTACGAACACACCTTTGCTCTTTGAGCTCGGCTACTATTATGA